AGTGCTCAGCTTTATAGAAATAGAAATGAATATTTACCCGAGAGAGAGATCGCACTTTTTAACCACCATACTATCTCATCTTGAATTCATCCACTCACAGATTACAACATACTCAAAGCTTTCCATCAGTGAATGGTTCAAACAAACATGATCACATCCCACTGAAAGCTGTCCTCAAATGTACAAAGATTCAATCAAACATGAATACACCCTACTGAAAGCTTTGCACCAGTGTATGATTCAAACAAACATGATTACATCATACTGAAAGCTTTCCACTAGTTTTAGATTCAAACAAACATGATCACATCACACTGAAAGCTGTCCTCAAATGTACAAAGATTCAAACAAACATGATTACATCATACTGAAAGCTTTCCACTAGTTTTAGATTCAAACAAACATGATTACATCCTACCGAAAGCTTTCCACCCATGTACAAAGACTCATGATTACAACACACTCAAAGCTGTCCTCAAATGTACAAAGATGAAAACAAACAAAGATGATTACATCCTACTGAAAGCTTTCCACCAGTCTTTGATTCAAACAAAGATGATTACATCCTACTGAAAGCTTTCCACCAGTCTTTGATTCAAACAAAGATGATTACATCCTACTGAAAGCTTTCCACCAGTCTTTGATTCAAACAAAGATGATTACATCCTACCGAAAGCTTTCCACCAGTCTTTAATTCAAACAAAGATGATTACATCAGACTCACAGCTTTCCTCCAATGTACAAAGACTAAAACAAACATGATCAAATCATACTGAAACCTGTCCTCTAGTGTAAGACGATTAAAATAAACATCATCACATCCTACTGAGTGAAAGCTTTCCACAAATGTACAATGATTCAAACAAACATGATTACATCAGACTCACAGCTTTCCTCCAATGTACAAAGACTAAAACAAACATGATCTCATGACTTCCACACACTCAGCTTGGGCCTCAACTACTACACCACTACACCACAACACTACAAGAGAAGTGACCACAGTCCCCTGAGGAAAGTCACTGGCGCTATACGCAATAAATATATATATTTGTGAGGCAGTGTGGTGAAATCAGGCGCTCGTCAAAATAATGGAAATTGAAGAAATCTGCATTTTTTTGGCTGATTGATTTTTTTTTTAAATTGTTGTTTTAGCTCAACACCTTTTGTGTCAATTTAAAAACACTTTTATGTGTGGATTTTATGGAAAAACGTTGATTTAAGGCACACAAAATGTGAATTTGCAGTTTCCAAGGACTCTAAAGAAAATCACCAAACTTTGGCGGCCATTTTTTCACTAATATTACTTCTGAAACCAGGCAACCCCACCTCCTTCAACTGAAAGTATCTCAACTGTCATTCAAGATAAATGGGTTTTTGTTTCATTTAAGCAAGGCAAATGAACAAATGAACAACCTTTAAGACTCCATAGGGCAAAAAAATTGACGAGTGCCTGATTCCAACGCGCCACGCCACACACACACACACACAAACACATCAGCTCCCCTACCACTTTGAAGGAGCAGAAAACTACAGAAAAAGCTTTACCATCTTTAACATTCAACTTTATATTTACCAACAGTCAATATGACCGGAATAAAATTGTACATTGTCCACACGTCACTCAGACACACATGCAGAATGCACGATGATGCTAACTTCCTGTTGGAAAAAGTTAACAAAAAAGGAAAGACAAGAAACAAAAAGATTCAACAACAGCATGAAATAACACAACGACAGATAACACAACTAGATGTGTGACATAGTAAACTTGTAGACTCGCCTATATAATATAACTGGACTCGCCTAGATGTATATATATATATCAAAGCCTGTGCAAAACATTTATGCATAACATACATTCATATAAAAATCTACGATCAGCGGTACAAAATAAGTGAGATCTGTGAACCATGTGTTCCGGCCCATTCCCCTGTGGTTGTTTGTTAGTTTTAGTAGAGGTTTTACGGCGCTCGCAACTGCATAAGGTCATATGAGCGCCAAGGGGTGGATGTCAACAGAGAAGTCCTTACAGGGAATCAGGCTTACTCTGCTCACCTCTCTAGCTTCAACAGCACAAAGTCTGCTTTGACTATCAAGGCACCCCGGAAATAGCGGGTCACAAGAGTGTGACAAACATACAAAAGAAGTAGAGGAAAATGAAACTTTTTCATTCCCCTGTTGCTGAAGCCTCTTGACGGCTTTGGTTTGAGAGAAAGAAAACGACAACAACAAAAAACTCAGTCTAATTCTATTCAGTCAAGAGTACTCAAATTCCAGCGACAATTTTAACATTTTAAGTCAACACCGTGAAAACAAAAAAAAAAACCCTACAAAAAAATCCAACTAATATCTATAAAAAAAAGCAGCGAATCCTGTAGTTTGTCATCTCATTAGCAAAGGTCAAATATTCCAACAAGTTCAACTGTTCAACCTCCAGTAGTTAATAATAATAACAGCTTCAGTAAAATTAGTCAAATCCTGACAAACAGAAAAATCTCAATGACAACCAAAACGAAGAGTTTTAAAAATAAATCAGTGGCCAACCGTTCTATATATAGCTATGATTGCTCGACAATAACCAAATATAGCAAAAATAAGCTTTAAGCAACAGAAATTTGGTTTCTTAGGAGACTGTTGAGAATTTCACGGAAGGAAAAGAAATCAACTGAGGTAGAACTGATAGAAGCCAAAGTGCCCTGCTCACTGATGAAGACAATACGGAGGATACAAACGGTCGCTTTTTAGAAAAAGTGGGCTAACCCAGATTTCGGGGATTTCCAGAAATCTTGACCTACACCAAAAGTGGACATTGCCTTACCTAAAGGAGAAGTTTGGTTTCATTGGAGTGTATATATATATATATATGTATAGTTTTAGAGAAAACTAAACTTGTTGATTAAAGAAACTGAACAAGGGTCCACAAATTTTACCTTCGATTTTTTCAAAACAGCATATTTCAGGATAGCCACCTTGTGCTTAAAAACTACCAAATACACGTCCAGGAACACTCGGATCAACATAAAGGCCTGGAACATCTTGCTCTTAGTGGAAAAATAGAAGGCAAAAGTTGCAGATGTGTACCAGGCACAGTTTACAGAACTTAAATAGACAGATGACAAGGAAAGGACCAGTACAAATTTTTGAGAGCTTCCGAGCAGAGAAATGAGTTGAAAACTGTGATTTCTGAGGTTAATTTTAGACCTGACGCTTTTTGGCGGCCACGACGATGTGGAACAAGGAACAGTAGGAGGCCTTTCTGCTCAAACTTTCCTGAAGCAGTCAACGTTTTCATTCATACGCCTGAACCACCTTTACATGACCACCTTACTAGTACCAAAAAAAGTAACCAGATGACATCAACTTTCTAAAAAGAAAAAAGAAAAAAAAGTCTGATTTTATGGTGACTCAAATACTTTTTGGAACAGCTCTTTTCTCAGATAAAATCAACAAAAAATACTTTAAATCTTTAAATCTTTCTCTTGCTTCTGACACACACTTACTAGATCTAGTGCTCAACTAATACTGGCAGGGTCTCAACAAGCAGCTCCCCCTCCCCTCCTCCTC